CTTGCTTCAGTTGTTGGAGCACCGTCATATATATTGGCGGCCCACCGTTGTCGTGTTCCTCGATATCAAAGGTGCATTCGATTCGGTGGATAGACATGCACCTTGGGACTGTCTGCTCAGGAATGGTGTACCTGAGAAATATGTGAATATTATCCGAGCATTATATGCGCGTAGCTCGGGCAGAGTGAGGGCTTACGGCAAGTTGTCGTCGCCCTTTAATATCTCCAGCGGTGTGAGACAAGGATGCCCGTTGTCACCTTTCCTCTTCAACTTCGTTATTGACGAAGTCATGGAGATTACATTTACATGACATGACTTGGAAGGTGTGGAGCTACTCCCAGGAGAACGACTTCTTGACTTGGAGTATGCAGACGACATTGCCCTTATCTGTGATAGCTCCCAGACATGGAAAGCGGCGCTGGACAGATTAGCACTGGCTGTCAGCCGCTTCGGGCTTTACTTTGTACCACCGAAGTGCAAAGCGTTCCTCCAAGATTGGCAGGGATCGCCTCCTGCGCTGACCTTTGGTGGGGATCTGCTAGAAGTCGTTCAGAAATTCAACTACCTGGGAAGTTGTATTAGCGCCCTTGGGATTGAAGATGAGATCACGAACCGTATATCAAAAGCTCGAAGTGCTTTTGCTAACCTTCGCCACTTATGGCGGCGGCGCGACATCACTGTCGCCCTGAAGGGTAGAGTGTACAATGCAGCGGTGCGTTCGACCTTAGTGTACGGTTGCGAAACCTGGCCCCTAAGATCGGCGGACATAAAGAGGCTAGTTACGTTCGACCATCGGTGCCTTCGCAGTTTGGCTCACATCTAGTGGGAACACCGCGTGAGTAACGAGCGTGTTCGATGTCTTGTTTACGGCACAGGAAAAGGAACTGAACCGCTCAGCACCGTCATTTCACGCACCAGGCTCCGATGGCTGGGCCACGTGTTGCGCATGCCAGCCCACCGACTTCCGCGACGTGCGTTGTTTACTCACCGGGGGTGTGGATGGAAGAAGAGGAGGGGTGGCCAAGCGATGACTTGGTCGAGAGGAATGAAGGCCCTCACTTCGGAGCTGGCCTCGGTTGGAGCTTCACGGCTCCCTGGTTGGGGTCCAAAAGCCGATGAACACATTTGGCTATATACACTTACTGACATAGCTAGGAGCTGACCTCAGTGGCATTCGTCTTGTGAGTTTCTTTGTCCGCTCCCATCCCTCTTAGCCTCCCCCTCCAACCACGATCTCACTTCGTAGCGTAATATAATTTTACATAATACTTTTTCTTTTGTCCTAGTAGCCGGCTGGTAGCTTACCGGAACGATGCCTATCCGTTGCTGGTAGCTCAGCTGGCATGCAACTGTTGTATTTATTTTCCTTTTCCTTTATGCATTGCGGCACAGTAGCTGAAGTGTTTTCCACCTCTAGCTAACGTGTTTAAAAAAAATGAATGTTTTCGCTTGGTATACAGTCCCTCTTCACTAATATCCCGCTGTACGAGACTGTCGATTATCTCTGTGAGTTTATTTCAAAACATAACATCCGACTGCAAATTCCCGCGGAAATGTTGCAGCACCTGTTTCCTTTGTGCACGAAAAACATCGTTTTATTTCCAAGGGAAGGCATATTGACAGATAGACGGTTGCAATTGGCAGTCCACACGGCCCTTTGTTAGCGTATGTGTTCATGGGCATGATCGAAGAGAGTGTATATGATATCATAAATTTGGCGACTCTATGCAAACCTTATGTGGAATATATACTGCTTATCATGGATTGCGACCGAGACACTAAGCAGTATGCACTCGAACCTTACAGTGACATGTGATATAGAGCACAACAATTGTCTTCCATACCTAGACATACTGATCACGCGGCGAATGGATAGTTCGATTAGGTCATTGTAACAGAAAGCAACATGGAAGGTCAGTATTTGCATTTTAAGAGTTTCTCCCCTATACAACACAAACGCTCGCTCGTCCGAACGCTGTTTCATCGAGCCCACATGATTTGCACCTCGGACACATTAGAAACAGTGAAAGATTTCCTGTTCGACACTACAATCAGGGTTATCCGGTGCATTTTATAAAGCGCATTAGCGACATGTCCAAGTGAGATCGTGTGTCAACAGTTTCTCGAACTACCATTCAAAGGTAATCCTATAGTGAAAATCACCTCGAAGCGTATTAGTGCTTCAGTGAAGAGGGCATACAATGCAACTGACCTACGGTTGCCCACTTCAACAAGACTTCTGCTTATGTTTTCCATCAAGATACCGCTAACGAGGCAGTGCTATCCCATTGTTTATACAAATTCACCTGTAGCTACCGAGACAGCTATATCGGGCGCACTAACGGAAGTTTAAGTGTCAGGATCAATGAGCACATTCCTAAGTGCTTACGTAGCCGGATGGGTTCGTCGACGGCGGAATCCGGTGAACTGAGAAATCGAGCTGCCTCGGCAATCACAAGGCGCTTGCTGAGCACCGACCATCGCGTCATTCATCGTCCTTATACACAATCAGTGGCCCCACATTCTCAGGCTATTAGAATTCATCGTCATCGATCGAGAGCGGCCGCTGCCTTGTGTGCTGAAACAGTTGACTGTGAATTTTAACCTGCCGTGGCAGTGTGAGGCGTGACGATTGGCCGACTATTGATCTCATATGACCGCGTTTTGTATATCTATGATTTCTGCATGATTTGTGATTGAGGAACTTGCACGAAATGACTGAGTCATCACACTATGTACGTCTGATTTTTCTGTTTGGAATTATAAAGAGAAATTCCTGTTTCAAATTTCTCGAACGTATAATGAAATCATCCATGAACACTGCATAGTCCGCGCAAGACCCCCGGCAGGTTGAGAAGTTTCCACTTACTGTTGATGGCATTAGTACATGTTCTGCACGTCACGCTAGTGGTCGTGCGTTAATTAGTGGATTGTGGCTGCAAGATTGGCCGAGTTAAATAAGAGACAAACTGATAGAGGGACTTATAGGTGTCCAAACTCCGCTTAGAACTAAAGGAAAGCCTATTTGATTAAGGGCATCTCACGGTGAGCACTCATGTGCCAGAGGAGAAGCCTAGTCGAATGAGTCAATTCTCCGAATATTGCCAGAGGACTGTGTCGTCGGCACTTCGCTTTTCGTTAGTGGACTTGCCGAAGTTGGCGCTGAAGTTTTTCGATGGTAATGCAGCAGCGTATTGGAAGTTTACAAAACAGTTTGCTGTACATACATAGGGAACGTTGTTTGGTCGCGATTGCTTCACTATGGTCACTTTTAATTTTCGCGTCTTCCTCTGTCTGTTTATTGGTTCGCACGTTCTGCTCGTTTTCATCGACTTTTGCCTTCTTATCCTTAAGGGATACTTGGTCGCATCAGTACTCCTTTGTCTATCCGGTCAGTGCGCACGTTTCTTGGAATCGCAGATGTTTCAACCTGTCCACTTCGCTCATCTTCGCCCGTTGGCCCTGTTTGCTCAGAGGACTAGCTTTTACATAATGTGAACTGGAAACAAGGAATGGTTTGTATATGGTGTAATCCTGAGTTGTAGGGTTCGCGTGCACAAAAACATACAACGTTATCCATCTAGTTTAGAACACATCTCTGTCGGAAATTCTTTCGGCTGATATGTTGCATATCTATGTCAGAAGCATCATTTGTGACTAGCGGGAATGATGCAGGTTATTTAGGACGACTGAACTATATGATAATATAAAGGATGCGAAACACTAACTAGGCCGATAGTGTCTAGAAATTGAGTATGTCAGTTAATTGAGCTAGGAGAAGGTCAACCAAAGGTTTAGTAAATGTTAACCGGGGACCGCGTGGCAGTCTTACCAATGTTTCACTAGTGAATGACAAAACCAAGTAAAACTGAAGCGGAGCATTGAGGCACCAATCGGGCTCAAAGTCACATTGATAGGACTTGGGTGGGCAACCTACCAACGTGTCAGTGGTTCTACAAGCGAATGACGGGTGCACGCAGGTAAAACGGAAGGGTAGTGTTCCCGGGCTTCGAGTTTGCGTCCGACTCAATCGATCGATCTATTCTGTTAGTAATACTTGTGTGGAAAGGTGTTTCCATAAAAAATGTGAACATTTTACGTGTGCTATGCCCGAACACCGCAGGTCGCGTCATGGTCTGCGGTGATTTGGCGAATATCGTCCCAACAACTGGTGGCATTCGTCATGGTTGTACAATTTTCCCATATTGTTCAAATTGGTCGTGAACTCCATCATGGCGTGTTTCTCAGTAGAACCTCATAATGCAGTCGTTCAGGTGCTGCCCAGTGAGGACATTGTTTTGCTTTTAACAATCTTGGAGATGCCCATTTAGCCCATTTAAATGCATCAGCAGTGCGTGCATGCGCTGTCCCGATGCTTCGTAGCCGCGCGTTTGGGGTTTTACGCATTTTCTCTCCATTGGAACTAAATGTTCTCCTTGCGACGCGATTCGTGATACCTAGACCCACCTACATACTTGTCTGACTGTGACTGACTAGTAATTTTAATCCGAACTCATCTTTCATCTTTTCACATGCATGGGCATGTTGCTTTTTAAATTTTGGTACATTTCTCGGTATCACGAGCAGAATTCATGGTTATACTCACAACCCAGTGTCTTAGGGGTCATGCAACATCCGACCACCTAAGAAATCGAAGTTTTTCAGTGTTTGTCTTCTTTCAGCGAGTCTTTGACATTCAGTATTGATGTCTAAGTCTATCGCTCTTATTTGTTTCTCTAGGGCTAATCTGAAACGCAGTCGCTACTTATACAGTCCACTTACAATGACAATGGTTTATGATGGATTAATAAAGCAAATACTTGATTGGCCCTATATTCCTTAACTCGCCAAGTGGTTTACATAATTGCAGGTGTTTTTATTCTATTAAAACGCCTGATGAATACACAGGCACCTATAGGTAATGTGACAATTCATACAGCAATGCCCTTTGCTTCATTTGCCCCTTTGTTTTAATTTCTCTTGATACTCATCTTGATTAGGGTGAATCACCCGCCGATACTCGGTTCTCACAGGAGTCCGGCTTAGGAATATGTTCTTCTGGGTTCAGCTCTCTACCGAGTTCAACGAAAAATGGTGATGCATCCGAATTTTGGGTGGGAGTGTATCCTCACCGGAGAAGCGCCAGCGCCCCAACTCTCACCCCAGACGAAATTGTTGCTCAGTCACCCCTCATGTATCAGCCGCTCTGTACACCAGTACTTCCGCATGCAGATGCCTGCTCGTTCGGTATGTCAGACAATTTTATGTTAACCGTTTGAATACCTTATTTCTTTTCTTTCTATTTGCACCCTGTTGACAGAGTTCCTGATAAATCCACGTACTATCCTCCTATGTAGCTATGGCCATCTTCATTCACCTTGTCCCTGAGGACATTATAAGTGCGAAACAATAATCCGTGGTCATCAGCGGTCACACTACATTCGCGTGACCCTTACCTTTTAGTGTACTCTATTTCAAGTCTGCTTAGCTCACCAAATAACGGGAACTACGATCAAAGGGCAGTGTAGATAATGCTTCAGTTCAGGCAGATCTCAGCAAAGATCCTGGAATGCTAGTTTTTGCATCGCAGCGGACTACCTTCTAGCTGCAACTCTGGGCGGTGTCTTCCAAGTAAACAGACGAGATGGGAAATTCGTTCCGAACGCGTGCAGGTAACGTCAAACAGTATAGCACCAAATAACCGACCATCGAAGCTTGTGACCATATCCCTTTCGTCACGCACGAGGTGTTGGTCGGTGAGTCGCTCACGGAATCCGTACCCTAGAAGTAAACTCGTCAGTGCTCCACCTAAAAGCGATTAGCTGCCCACTGCTGCTGTCGGCGCATATCTGACTCAGCATTGAGAGCAGGGGAGCCTCCAATGTACAGTCTAAGATCGACCTGCAAATTCCTTGCAAGTATTCCAGTGTGCAACCATGTAAGTTCGCCTGATGAATTCTGACCGACAAGCAACTCATCAACAAGTGACCTAGCGTTCACAATTAAAGAGATCATTATTGGCACGATACTAGATAGTCCCCTAGGGCTAACTGATTGTCACCATGCTTGATGGATTTGCGAGCATCTTCACGAACGTATCGACTAGATGCGTTCAATCCCACATTACTAAGTTTCAACAGAACTCGTTTTGTAGGCCACCTGTACGCTTTGGATAATGGTTCTATTGGCAGCACCTGGATAGATTTTGTGGGGATACTTACCAATCTGATCACACTTACGTTATAAGCCAGGCCATCTTGGTTCTACAGGAGAATCATCCTTCATAACGAACAGAACTAGGAAATGCATGGCAATAAGAGACACAGCGTGACGTATGTTCAATGCCAATTTTAGCCTTGACAGCTGAAGCAGCTACTTGGTGCTACAAAATCACTGCACCGCACTTGTTGTGGGGACAGGTTAACACACCTACAGTGCCCAGCGACAAGCTTTTGTGCCAGTTACATGGTACTGTACAGGCATGTCATCAGTCTTCGGAAAGTGAGACATGGCTTTGGCCGGCTCATCTATACAGGCGTACTGTCACAATGCGTTGACTAAGCAACCAAGGCTCTACTGCTCCATTATACAACTATCTTCCTATGTGCCACTTATCTGTCCCATCACCAGGCGCCAGGATTTTCTCACATCATCTTGAGTTCAGCAATTTTATCGTTGAAGCTATTATCGCTGTTCATTCGGATGCCTCTGTGAAGCTAACAACGTTTTGATCGCGGTTAGCTTAAACGCAATTCAGAGTAGCAGTGTCTGTACTTCGGAACTTATCTTGAGCTGTGGTTGCGAACAGGCACTGAATGAAATGTTTTGCTAAAAAGCGTGTGCGCAATTCACCACATCATGTGCCTGCAACTAGACCCAGCGGTGTTTCTGTGGTACCCAAACACTGTTCTTGTCGCTTGCACCCGTAAAAGGTTACGGCATTTTGATTTCCACCGTCCTATGTAACAAAATGAGCCCTGCTTGTGAATGACCGTGGTAGTGGTAGGTTTTCCTCTTTTTCCCAGTCTTGTGTTTATTGTGCTATTACATCTTATTCGATGGCGTTCGGTTTTTTGCACTCAAGACACAGTCGTAGGTGGCTGTTCGGTTCTAATTTCGGTACCTACCATGTGGAAACAAGGTATCGTTACCGAAATTTTTAAGGGTAATACTCAGAATTCCGGAATCTATCTTGCAATCATCCTCTTCTGGTCACTTTCAAAGGTGATAAAGACAATGGAAGGTCATGCATCCTAGCTCCGGAGCGGCGCGTCTTCCGTCAACACTGTTCAGCCCATTAGGAATAAAGTGCTCTACCAATCGATTCAAGCACCTACCGACGCTAAGGATCAGCGTACCGTCCGCTTCGCAACTAATTTCACTGACAAAAGGCTTCCTGTTCTTGCTGAACCGAATGAGCCGTAATAACTTGCGAGTGTTGCCAGCGATGGCAGAAGCCTCCCTTTCTGGAGCACAGACTTCCCGACTCTTGTTTGTGATAACAACTGACATGGTAGCGCAATTCACTGCGATCGGACTTCGCTCAAATATATCTGCGGCGGTCAAACAGGTGGAAGGAGCGTTTGGCAATTCAAATATTCAGGGGGTACCGAGTGAAACCGTCCATCTAATATTCTATCAATACTGTGACTTCGTGATAGTACGATTGTCCGGTTTTATAGTGCTAGTTCCACTTCTTTCTGCTTTCCGATAACTCATTTACTACTGATGTGACACATTTACATAATGAGTGCGTTGCAATATCGATTTTTTATTTGAGCCAACTTTCCCCGGCGAATTTTCTTTTACGATAATTAATTTCGTACCCTACCTGCCTTCCTTCTTCCAGACTCCTTTTTCATGGACGCCACCCTATTGGACCTCGATAATGAGTCTTCTGGTTTCGGATGCGATGTTTCTTTATTTAGCGACGATAAGGTGTCGCGTCTAAATGTCCCATCCTCGTTTCATCCGTTCGTGAATAGCTCCGAAGTGGATCTCTCGAATACCTTCGCTCCTCCGAAGCACTTTTACCAACCTCCATGTTCAACGTCTTCCTATGGGTAAGCAATCGACTTATAACCCTGTTCGTGTTTCGAACGACAAACCACTTGGCTAAGCAACATCATTCGCCTCAATGGCAGTGATTTTGTGAATACATTCCGCTTGTCACCATAGACCATTTACAGTTCTTCCCGTTGGGATGTACTCATACAACCTAATCGGTTTGCTGGCTTAGCGAATGGGAAGCACTATGCTCCCACAACCTATAGATCCATGTCTCAACAATTCTTCGCTCGCTCTCACTGCTCTCATCGGCCAAGGTGCTGTCGGCCTAACCTGCCAAACCACATCTTATCGCACTACTGTCTAGTCACATTTTTCACCTTTGTTCAACCCCGCCATTCTTGGTCTTCTCCCGGGTCTGTGGCTTTACCAGTAGTTCTGTCAACCACTGGTTCTCTGTACCATCTCTCCAACCTCTCGAAGCCTGTCGAGCAATTCCTGCTGGCGTTGGACACCATTCACTGCTGAGTTCAAACAGCTTCTCCGGGAAGCTCACTAGGCCTGGTGGACGGAGCGGGTCATTGAGATGGGCCAAGCGGCCATCTGGGGGACTTTCCGTAAGATTTTCCTCCTGACCGGATCTACTGGCGGCCGACTGTAAATGGTTTTATGCGAAACCAATGGGGAGCCAATCCACTGTCGAAAACGCGGACTCGAGCGTTGGGCTGAGCATTTCGAGCAGCAGTTTAACTGGCCAGCAGCACGGATGAGTTCCCATTCTGGGATCCAGAGTGCTCCCTGGAATGTAGACGCTTCACCACCATGGACTTCGCCGTTTAAAGCTCTACAAAGCACCTAGCCCAGATAAACTCCCACCGGCTCTTTTCTAACATGTTCTCCTTCAACAGATCTGGGTCTGAAGTCTGTGTAAGCGAACATATGTTTTCGGTAATTCTCCATCAGGCTTTTACAGTTACATAAAATGCAAAATGTTTGTATACCGACCCGACGGTTCGTCAGTCAACCAAATTAATCTTAATGCGCTGTGAAATTATCCCATCTGATTGGAGTCTAGCTCATATCGCGTGTCCGTCTTCAAAAAGTACCCGAACTGACTACGCCAAACACAGAAGGATTACTCTCATCTGTGGTGCTTCCAAGGTGCTCGCCGCTCTGCTTTTAATGCGACTCATCCTAAAACGCGAACAGTGCATGCATGAAGAGGAAGCTGGGTTCCACTCAGTTCGGAGTTGCATCGATCACATCTTTACACTCCGCCAAATACTCGAGCGTCGTCAAACATTTGGTCGATCAAGAATCATCGTCTTCTTAGACATACGAGCCGCCTTTGACTCAGTTGACCGAGCTGCTCCCTGGAGTTGTCTACTGAGAAGGGGAGTGCCCGAGAAGTATCTCACCATGTCTCAAGCCATCTACCCTCAAGCCTCGGGCCGAATGCGGGTGTATGGCGGACTTTCGACCTCCTTTAGTGTCACTATTGTCGTGAGACAGAGTTGCTCAGCATCGCCCTTCTTGTTCAATTTCGCCATGGACGAAATCCTAGAGAGTGCTTTGGAGAACTGCTAGCCCAGCGTCGTCGAGCTGCTTCCGGGGGACCGACTTCGGGATTTGGAGTATGCAGACGAAATCTCTTTGTAAGCTGCGATTCATCACAGGCCGCCCAAAATGTCTTATGTAGATTGGAGGTGTCTCCCTCCCAGTTTGGAAGGACCTTCGCACCATCGAAGTGCAAGGACTTCCAGCAGGACTTGCTCGGTGCTGCTCTTATCCTTACCCCTCCAAATCATTCGTTAGAAGTGGTAGACAAGATCGTTTACCTCGGAAGCTGCCTCAGTGCTAACGGCTTAGCGGATGAGGTCTCTTTGCGCGTCTCCAAGGCTCGGGTTGCTTTTGCCAATCTCCGCCATCTCTGGCGTCAAGGTGATCTGAGTCTATCTCTGAAGAGCCGCACTTACAATGCCACAGTAAGAGCGGTTCTGCACTATGGCTGCGATACGTGGCTTGTTCGCGCAATGGATGTTGAGTGCCTGTCTGTTTTTGGTCACTGCTGCGTTGGGAGCATTGCTGGTGTACCATGGCAACACCACTTGTAATGAGGATGTTCGCCGGAGGATTTTCGGACTTTGCCGGCCATTGAGCAGCATAATTTCTCCGCACAGACTTCAGTGGCTTGAACATATTCTTCGCATTCCTGCTTATCGTTTACCTCGCCGTACCCTCTTCGCGCCTGTAGAAATCGGCTGGAAGCGAAGCATGATGGCCAACGTGTGCCTTGCGTCAGGAGCACGAAGGAGCTAACGTCAAAGTTAGCCGTAGTTGGGCGCTCTCGGCTCCTTTGCTGGGGTGTAAGGGATCAGGAACACCCATGGCTGGAAACACTTTGGGATATGACAAGAAACCGTGCACATTGGCGGGCCTGTTGTGACCCTCTATTCCCATGAACACCGGTTTTTATTCTTTCCCTCTCTCTTCGTTTGTTTATTGTATTTTCAATGCGTTGCGGCACCATGCCGATTGTGTTATTTGCCACATTATATATATATATATATATATATATATATATATATATATATGTGGGAATGGGGCTTGAGATGGCATCCCAACGTCCCAGTCGCAGTCTTTCTACCCACACTTGATTTGCGCGAACGGGTGCGAAACCGGTCGTGGAGTGCGGCTGCTACCAGTGAGCAACACCTAACATTCTGCCTTTCACCGAGGGAGAATTTTTTATATTACGCAATGTAACCTCCCTGACGGAGGCTTCTGGTTTGACCACGTCCGATATGGTGAAATCGTCTTCTGATCCCCACCGCAAACAATCTATTTTCTTCCACTTTTCTCGATAGATTTGTTTGTCAATGTACCAAGTCATATCAACAGGATCAACATTGAATCTAACTTGTAGCTCTGGAGGTCATCCCTGTCCTCTGCACCTTCATGCCATGCATGACAGTGGAGAATGAACAGCACTATATCGCATTTAGATGTCATTCACGCTGTCACGCCGTCGTCACACATGGTTCAGTGGCATTAGTCGCTGGCGTAAGAGTGAGTTCATGGCTTCGAGTCGGGCAGGATTCGATGGTTCGCACCACTGACGAGTCCTAATAGGATGAAAAGGGCGTCTAGCCCTTTCACTAATAGTTGAACTGCATGGAGTTTTCAGCTGAAGAATCAAATTCATCCAAACGTCTATTTTCTCATGAATTCGAGATGCTTTTAGTCTTGTTGCGCTTTTTATTTTGCCCCCAGTTGGCTTGTGTCGCACACCCAATTATGCTCACTCTGATACCCATGCGCACTACAACCGCTTGATCAGGCACACAAGAGGTAATGGATTGTTTCTAATTAGATCAGCTGAGTTGGCGCTGAACGCACACCAGAAGGGCTTGTTAACCTGAATACGAGAAAAAGCCGCCCAGCTGTTCTGCACATCTTGGGTTTGCATCGGCTTGGTGATAGAGCGAAGTTGACTGGAGTTCGCTTGGCCTGTTCTCCCGTAATTTTGAAGCGAGATTGATCGTGGTCTTTTCAGAGGACACCATCGATCTGATGCAGCGGAAGGAATCACTGTTTTTGTTGAATGAACGACTACATTCTGGAGTACGGCAATATGCAGTGTTCCAATCTGATGCAGTTGTTTGTTGTCGTTGTTGTTGTTATTGTTGTTGAATCGGTTTAGCTACACTGTGTGGAGGGCTGTACTTACGCAGTAAACGCCGCCCTTTCTTACTCTACACCTAACCGCTGCTTTTGTCACGTTTATACATCGGGTGTTGCCCAACTATCGTGCTAGTCAAGATGTAATAAGAGTATTTGCTTGATTTACGAAGTACGTCCCGCTTCCAATGCCCTAGATAAATAGCACATGATGACTGCTTCCCAGGCGTGCAACGAACCGCAGTTTGCCTGCAAGCATAACGCATATTATGCGCCTTTTTGACATGACCCTCCTGCATTATTATCGTACGAAGTTTGATTTCCAATCTAATGGGGGGAAAACACGGTAATCATTCTGACTTTATCCCACTAGTATGCCAACCACCATAAGCTAGTGTGTGTTGTTATGGTAATTGTATTAAATTACTCCTGACAGGACTAGCATTCCCTCAACGCCGTGAGGTACGCCCCTGTGGAGGCAATTCTTTCCTCAGAGCATTAATCGACTGCGGGAAAACATTGCCTCTACTGATTTTAGTTTATTTCATGACGCGGAAGTATCCACATATTATGATTAATTACCCAGCTGCCTAAACCTTCACTTCGAGGTCTGTTGCCCAGTGGAAGTGGTTTCCATTCGTACAGATAACTTTCGTCTCAATAGTTCAAACATCCGCGCAAGATTGAAGTAAGGGCTTTTACACACAAAGACTTGCCGCAGTAAGGTCTCTGTCGCGGGATATAAACATCGAATTGCGTCGTCTCAGTCATACGTTCAGACCATATTGTGAAACGATAATTCCTTAGAAATGCGCCAAGTGTTAAAAGCAGCCAAGCCGATTTACCTGCTAGGTCATTCCTTCTTCTAAACCCCAATTAGTGACCATGACGGTAGTTTAGTCTGAGTTACGGTTGCCTTTTGTTAACTCACCTTCTGAGAATATACAGTAAGTTAGTCGAGCTTCAGTGGAACAAAGTACTCGCTCCGGATAAACTCTTTTATCCTCTTCAAGCAATGTACTGATTACATGGCAAAGCCTTTCCTCATGTTGCACACATTGTGGTTACGACAATGCATGATCACCGACAAAAGACGAAATGCAAGCATCATACCGGTGCTAAAAATGAAACTTGTGAATATCGAATAACCGCTTACATGCTGATTGGTTTGAGAACTTTTTAGTGGCGTATTCTTGAAATTATGTTAGCCCAGACCCATTCGGATGACCTTCGTCAGTTTGGATGTTGTAACTCAACATTCCTTTTAGATGCGATGGCCTGCCTCATTGTTATGGGGACCCAACGTCCCTATAATTATTAAAGGCTTAAATTACGGAAGGCTGAAAACCCGATTCACTCAAGTGCACATGTACTCAGAGCCAGACAAAACGCACACGTTCAATCAGCTTTCCAACTCGTGTAACATGCACATTGTTTAGCCTTTGCACCCGGAAACAGTCTTGTTTCCAACAAACACGCATTGTTGTATCCAAGCAACATTCATTTTTCCGGACAACTCTCGCCAAACTTCCAACATTTCTGCTCAGTTTACGGACTTTGCACATTTACATAAAACCATGTTTCTTGTTTCCAGGGTTTGCGTAAGCAAACCCTTCCAAGGAAAAACCCCCCTTCATCACCGTTTCGTGATATAAAAATGAGGCTGTACAACGCTAGAATCGCCTTAGCTTTGGCCAGTAAAAGCGCCTGTGGCAAAGGCCTGTCTTGTTCTTGCTTCAGTCTTGGGTTGGGAAATCGTGCGTAGAACTTTGCGTTCGGTCTAGGAACCTGTTCGACTCGCGTGAATTAATCTTTCGCGGCTAAGTTCCGAGAACCCACAGACTTCGAGATTGTCAGTTACCGTGCCGTGCGAGAAATAATTCCGAGTCTCGTTCGTCATCCGTCTAGGAGAGTTGGTATTACCTTGTTAGAACCTGACGTATTCAAGAGGCAGTATTCAACACTCATGCATTCTGTGCTTTTATCACTGGTTAACAAAAACAAATCCATTCGCTTCTGCTCCCTAGATTGTAGCAACGTTATTGATTGCGTTAACCGCGCATTGCTGCTTTGTTACCTGCTCTGCTCAACCTCCTTTTTTACTTCTGCTGAAGACTTGTTTTGGAAAATGCTCCCCGTTTACCAGGTTTTGAGGGAAGAACCCATTACTTACAACAAATTCGGTTATCTCCACTTTTACTTCTCACCTCAATCGCCCTTCCTAAAGGAGCCCTCTTGCTGAAGTACGCCGGTGACGTACTCTTGTGTGTTCATCGTCCAAATTACAAACTTTCCTGTTCAACCTCATCTTGCCCTACAGCCTACTGCACATCGTTGAACACCTTAACATGCAAAGAGGTCCTTGTTCACTGGTTTAAAGCAATCGCTGCCAGCAAATCCACACGTAGTGCCCACAACTTTACATCAGTGGTGAAGGTGTGAAGCTTTCCATCTCAGTGAAATATATGTATAAAGTCAAGAGATCCTTGTTCCATGTTACTCGTCTCAGGTCTTCCTCCGTATCTCATTGTTTATTCCCCCGTTCTATACCCTCGTGTGTGTTATCCTGTTGGACATATGGCTCTTCAGTGTTTTTCTTGTGCTCTTGAGTAAGGATCTCTAAGTGATAGCCAGGTCAGTGAAGCATATATCTCTGTGTAGTATTTAAAGACCGGGACTTGCTAAGATTATTGTATCTAACGATGTAAGCTCCTGCAACAAATTTACATCCAAATTACTCACTGATGGTAATTACCCCCCCCCCATAGAGCGTTATCCGAGTATATGTCCAACCTCTAGATCATGCAGATTTAGGGCTCTGTACGCCAGTACACTGGCCTTGTTTGTTACATTTTTTGACTCCTCAAATTTTTTTCGTCAGCAACGTATGGTAAATTACTTTGCTGATATGATCTCTGCCAGCTCTTTTATACCTATCCTCTCCTGATGTTCCACTTCATTAGTTATCTCCGTCCGGGACGTGTGTGTCACAGTCGTATATTCACCTTCCGTGGGAGCGTTAATCACATTCTTGACTTGACTTTATCATTGGTACAGCGCGGTACTCCCGTCGTTCATGTTCACATGCATCATCAATACACGTTAGCTGAGGATGAGAGAGGCACCTCAGCTAATGTGCCGCAATACAAATAGGATAAGAAATCAAACAATACCGATTAAAATATGTAAAAAGTAGCATAATACTTAGGGTTTGACGTCGTTGTTGGAGGGGGATGCTAAAGGGGAGAGGACGGACAAACGCCATTGAGGTCGACTCTTCGCCATGTCAGCTAGTGTATCCGATCAAACGTGTTCATCGTCCTTGGGACCTCAGCCAAGCAGTCCGGAAACACAAACCGACATCATTTTCAAGTGAATCTTTTCATTCCTCTTCACCAAGGCATCAATTGTTCTTCCTTCCTCTTGTTCCATCCACACCCCGGCGCGCAAACAACCCAGGATGCGGGAGTCATTGTGTTGACATACGCTAAACGTGACCCAACCATCGGAGCTTGGTCCGTGATATAATGGTGCTGAACGGTTCCCTCGCTTTTTGCGCCAGATACGCGGAGCCGGACACGCTCATTGATCACGCGATTTTGTCGTCACAAATAAAATCAGATGGATTCCGTTTACATCGAAATTCCATGTGTGTTCTAATTTTGTGGACACATTACATGGAATTTCTCTCTAACGCAATACTTGATATATAGTTGACTGAATATGCTACATTTTTACTCAGGGTAATCTTTCAATCATGGTTTGAGTATGCAGTGTATAAAAACATATTTGAACACGTACAATGTATCTCGGGGGCGAGTATTGTGTAGTATGCTGGTGGGTACCTGTGCCTTGACGTTGAATTGATACCTGTTTTCTCAGAGTGTAATCAATTAAAATGTATGTCGACGAGAATTTAGAAAGCCGGTCACATTCTTGGTGATAAGGACCGCTACATTCGCCGATAGTACGTTAGAAATGATGGCATACATTCGTCAGAGTTCACCTCACCATACTGTGGGATTTGATTGCCCTTCCTAATGGGTCTACATTGCAATGTTTTACGATCCGTGGTTGAGGATACAGTGCACACTGTGTTATCAGCCAGTACCAAACTGATTTGCTGCTAGACTGTAGGGAATGCCTGTAGGTGCCTATATATATATATATATATATATATATATATATATATATATATATATGCCCATTTAGTGAAAAGTTATGTTACCGTATCTGTATGCATTATTCGATTTATCTTATTTCATATCGTCATTTCAAGATATTGGCTGTCGCTTGATATCCCCGGTGTGGTTTCGCTCGATGTGCATGTTGACAAAGTGCCTACTTGTCTACTGCCCACAACCTCGTCCATACTGACTCCAGGAGACAGTGGGTCGTTGCTGGAGAGGACGGGGTGCACGGTTCTTGTGGCCATGCTACGCTCGAAAATTGGTTCTATGCACTCAGTGTGGAGCGGACTACTGTCCAGCCACCGCCTTGTGTGCGCTTGATTCCCAAATACAGCGTGCTTGTGTTTATTTGTGAAGGAGTGTGGGCCGGCTCTGTTGATGAAACGTGGCTCCTATCCGCATTATTGCTTGCGGAGGAGAATTTCTGTATACGGAAGCGACAGGCACCGATGGAGTCTAGCCCATCGACGTCAGGCGCTTGGTGCTTTAGCACATGCAGGCAGTCGTGAGTGCCTGAGCCAAGCAGGCATGGTAAGCCACTAGAGTCGCCACGAGGGACCAGCATCCAAAAAGCGAATTGGCTGAATAACTAATCAACACGGCGTTCGTAAGTACGCTGCCTCCGCTTTCATCCGATTTAGTAAGCCAGGCCAATAAGGCGCTTGATGTGGCGCGTGTGCTACATCGTCGTTGCTGTTGGTCTACACATGTGTCTGCGTATTGTTCCTCGCATTTCAAGGATTGGTTGTTAATTGATATCCTCGGTGTGTCTACGCTTGATGTGCATATTGACAAGAGACCTACCTGTCTAACACCCTCCACCTCGATTACTAGCTCCATGAGACTACTAATGTTTGGTGTATGGGTGGGATGCACGGTCCATTTGGCCGTCTTTGCTCAAAGACTGGTTCCATCCATTCTGGAGCAGACTACGGCCCAGTCACCGTCTTGTGTACGTCTGGTACGCATGATTTCCTATCTAGGCATGAATGCTGCTGCTCTGCATGTTGAAAAAGTGTGAGCCGACTCCGTTGACGAAACGTGGCACCCATTCATATGCCTTCCGGTCTTATTCCTTCGGGTTTACACTGGACATGGGTTGCTTGGGCGAAACGATGCAGGCCACCCATGCTCCTTTACTAGGCGCAGACGTCCTGTGTCTATCCCCGTGGATGCCGCAGTGACAAGCTAAAACGGAACCAGATATCGCCGACGGAATATATATATATATATATATATATACATATATATATATATATACATATATATATATATGGTTGGCGGCATCCGGTTTCGGATTTGCCTGTCACTGTAGTCAGCCCCAGAACGCCTGCGCCTACAGAGGGATCATGGATGGCTTGCGCTGCACCACCCACAGCTCCAAACACACCCCATATCCTGTGTAAACCCGAAGGAATAAGACCGGGAGGCATGTGGATGGGAGCCACGTTTCATCAACGGAGCCGGCCCACGCTCCTTCACAGGCAAACACAAGCACGCAGTATTTGGGGAATTAAGTGCACACAAGGTGGTGGCTGGACAGTAGTCCGCTCCACACTGAGTGCATGGGACCACTCTTTGATCCTAACACGGCCACAAGAACCGTGCACCCCGTCCCCTCCAGCAACGACCAACTGTCTCCTACATATATATATATATATATATATATATATATATATATATATATATATATTCTCTGGTATTCTCGATCGCTTCTGTCTATTCTCGATTCGGCCACCACCTCTTTATTTGACCTGCGCCTGAAAACAGTGATTTCCGTTCCAATTACAGGTACAAGTCAGCACACCGCCGCGCTCTTAATTATACGGCGTCACTGAACCGACTTAATTCTGTCAGTGCCAAACTACCTCCGTCGGCTGACCCTAACAACTACATCTGTACCACTTTTGGATCTACCGGTCACCTAGCAAATGCTGTTCTCGAAACTCTGGATCTCTGCGAATTGCCGTACTCTACAAACCAGCTTGCCGGTTTTGACACTTCCACCGTACTTTCCACTCCGTTTACTCGACTGCCGGTTTTTTGTACAGTGGACGAGTCAAAGGTATGTTGCTCATTAACTGCATCGCTTCACTTTTGACCGAACTGCATTTTCAGACTGATCTCATTACACCCGCTGAGTTGCTCTTCCTCATTTCTTTGCCCAGTATTGTCAGATGACGACGCAGTTCTGCCCTTTCGATCCTAAGGATACCTCACATTTAACTGAAGCAAAGTCAGACTTTCACCTACCTCTGCTAGTGCGGCTGACTTCGTAATTTTCCCCCGCATTATAGGTATGCCTAACCCACGTACACAAACACCGATGGGTTATTTTCATCGGCAAAGTCGGTGCCGGAATTTAAGAAACTCCTGGACTCGCACTTTGCCGACTTGTGATTTCGAGAATAATCCCCATCATAATAGGTAGATTTGCTTAAAGTATATTAGTTATGGCTACACAGAGGCATCTCTACTCCATGCGTGTTCTCAGTATTCATCATCCTCATCAGTAATGTCAGTACGTCAGCCGCTTCTCTTCCATACAACCACAGTGCACTGTGGTGAAGAAGATCAAACGGGAGAGAAGAGACCTAGCGTAAAACCTGAGCACCCTAAGCCAACATTCAGACCAAAGATGCCAAATCTTACTCCCATAGAGTAGGACCTCCCTCACCATGGCCTTGTAAACATCACCTTTCAGATCGAGGGGAACTCCCTTCTGACGCCACACATTATAAATTCAGGTAGGCAGTTCTAGCCTTGGTAGTACGTGGACTGACTTTACTGGATATGCGCTCATCGTTGTTTATGCAACTACTGAGAATTCTTCGTTACCAATTATCAAGGGGTCATTAAGTGATTGGTGGTCTTGCAACAACACCTGGCACTTTTGAGGTGTAAAGCGCACATCAAGTGATGTGAGCGCTCTTGATATGGGTTATCCATGGTTGACTGCACCCCCTCAATATAGTTAAAGATCAGGACATTACCGTCCGCATGACCCTGGTTAACCAGTTTTCCACCATGTAGCACCTCAACGCCTGCCTCGCGATGTTCTGCAAGGGACTCCGTAAAGGAGTCCACGACGAAGTTGATTGGGAATGGGGAAATTGGGCAACCCTGCCGGACGCTAATTATTGTCTAAAAGATATCGGACAAGTCACTACAGACCCTTCCGCGGCCTGTGGTGTTCGAGTATATGGCACGTACATGTTCACATATTTCATGGAAACACCTTCCCCCCCCCCCCCGAATATTTTGTGCAGAAGGGATCGATCGACCGTGTCCAACACTCCTGAATCCGAGGAACACGGCTACCGTCCACTTGCGGTACGTGACGCTACTCTAGCACCTACCGCAGAGTGAATATATGTCCTGGATGGAGAGCTGTTTTCTCTGCCCTAATCCGGGATTCCCGTTCCGAACTAAGTCATTGGGCAAGAATTGAAGCCTGTAACTGTGGCTGCCGGCGTCAGGCTGTTACTTCTGTAGTTAACACGGTGCGACTGCCATTCTTATATATTGCCACTATGGTTTTCGGTGTTGCTCTCTCCTATGCCTGCACGTCACGACCGACGGTTTCGTCCTTGTTTAGACTCATCAGTTAGAGATACCCTGAGTTTTGAGTGAAGTTCGGCACCTAGTGGTTGGCGGCTATCGCCATGACCAATAAGCCATTGAGTTCCGCGAACAGAGCTTGACACAGCGGTTAGAAGTTGATTGTCGGATTTTGGAGTACCCGCCGTGGTTCTTGGATTGCGACACGCAATCCCAATTGGGGCTTCGTTTGACTTTGTAGTCAGCCTGTTCCATTTCAATCACTGCGACCGTATCCGAAGTGGAGGATTTCGGTGTCACTCTCTACCATCCCTGTAGGCTGCACGGATTGTGATCGGGATTTGGACGTCAGTCTCCGGCCATGGCTCAGCCTGCAGTACTGAGCACGATGGGACCCAGGAACAATGCGCCAACTGAACTGCTCTCTGAAGTTCTCTACATAGCGAGCTATTCGGTCCTCTTTACTATGAATCAGGCCACCCGCGCTGCCCCTGTCTCTCTGACGTTTGGTTTCTTGGGACCAGTAATGAGGTTAAGTTGAAAGAGCTTGCGATATTTACCTAATTCTCCCGCTTCCTACTGAGCAGCAGCAGGCTTCCTTGTCAACACGCGCCTATTACTCCGTATGGTGACATTGTGCCCACAGCCGCCATGGAATTTTCTTTTGGATTTCACCAGTTTTACTGACTCTCAGATATCCAGTGTCTGATGCGGTGTTGTTTGATAGTACCGCAGGCAGAGGCACCCGCCTCGTGCATGGCGATCGAGACCCTATTCCACTGAAGCTCATTGTCATTAGGGCGAGAGAGGGAAAGTTGGTACGCAGGGTATCCTGGTAGGCTTGCCTGACCGAGAACTGAGTTAATTTCTCAGTTCCCAATCATAAAGAGTACTTTGTACGTCTCCCGGTAAAGTTCATGGAAAAGCAACAGCGCACCAAAGCATGGTCAGTTGACACACGTATTCCAGGACGAACGACAGTCCGGGATGGAACCACTCCACCTTCAAATTAAAGGTACGTGCTCTATTTGGGTACAGCACTTGTCATGTGTCCCTTCGGTGCCCACTGTGTCTAAAAACTGTGCTACTAGGAAGAAGTCGATGTGCATTGCACAGTCGCAACAGACACTCGCCGTTGTCCTTTCTTTTGGAGTTGGTTGGTGGCATCCGGTTCCGAATTTGCCTGTCGCTGTGGCCTCTATGCGGCAGCTGCAGGACGTCTGCGCCTACAGAGGGACCACGGGTGGCTTGCGCTGCACCACCCACAGCTCCATTCACACACCTGTGTAAACTCGAAGAAATAAGACCGGGAGGCATGTGGATGGGAGCCACGTTTCATCAACAGAGCCGGCCCACATTCCTTCACAGACAAACACAAGCACGCTGTATTTGGGAATCAAGCGCACACAAGGCGGTGGCTGGACAGTAGTCCGCTCCACAATGAGTGCATGGAACCACTCTTCGAGCCTAGCACAACCACAAGGATCGTGCACCCCGTCCCCTCCAGCAACGACCAACTGTCTCCTAGAGCCATTATAGACGAGGTAGTGGGTAAGACAGGTACTCACCTTGTCAACCTACACATCAAGCGCAACCACACCAGGGATGTCGAACAACAGCCAATCACTTGAAATGAGAATAGCAAATAATATATATCGAATTAAGCATACGGGTATGCCGACATAACTCTTCGCTAAATTAACATACGTAATAAGTTGACTATCAACAATTCCGCGCTAAATGCAAGTTATCACAAACGCATGTTAGGGAACTTAGCCACAATTAGCTTATGCAACGTAAGCAAGTTCAGTTAAACGTTAAGCTAACGCAAAGAAAATGCATTGAGACGCGATAGCAAAGAAATCACCTGAAATAAAGAAACTCAGCACGCAAGCACGCCGTTAGTAAATCGAATGCAGCCTACCTACCAACGCTGTGCCGGTTCTGTTTACCTTCTCAGCACGACCCGTCCTCGTTTCGATGCTGGTCACTAGTGGCCTCGCTCCTGGCTTACTAGGCCTGATTGACTCAAGCACTCGCGACCGAATGTGCTACAGCACCATGCGCTCGACGTCGATGGAGTATACCCCAGCGGCGATTCGCTCCTTTTGGAATTAAGCCCATGCTTTCCACCCACCTGAGCTTCTGAGGAGCTCGTACGACCTATTTGCACAGTTATACCCACCACAATAATAATTACATATGAAATGATAACACTGCGAAGCAGCGTGTTCAGTTTATGGTGGAAGGCGTCGTTGGCGGCATCGGAACTGCAGTTGGTCGGGGTATAAGTGACAACCACAAACAGCCATTTTGTGCCACTATGTGAATAAACCTTAGTTGACGTCGTCAAACGGGCTACACACAAACGGCTGCTCACAGGAATCCAATTTACTAACGATGACTCAGCCTTGGGGCTGAGGACGGATACCGACCCCAGGTTTGGCAATGATCGCCGCACCAGCGTCTCCGGAAGCGTGTAACCAATAGAGAAAGATTTGGGCGCGGTTCGTTGCACAACTCCGTGAGTATTATATTGACTCTAGTTTCAGAGAAGTCAATACACTGGGTATCCAACCCGCGTGCAAGTGCAGCCTGCTTACCTGTCTGTTTTAGTGTGTAAATGTTGAGCGCTGTATGGGGAATAAGGACAGCGTGGCTGATAGGCGTCCACTGAGTGATGCTGGAAGAAAGTTGCATATGACAGGGCTCCATTGGTATCGCAGTTGCTGTCAATTAAGTTGTGAATTATAGTGGGAAAGCTAATAATATGGGTATGGAGGGGAGTGAGAGAGACAGGTAGAGAAGGAAGAAGGAAGGCGCCAGCAGTAACATCTTTTCGCCTACCCGCCCTGCTGTATGCAGCAGCAGATAAAGTGTCCCTTGATAAGCTGCGCGACGGCAGATACAGAATGTGGTTGACATTTGATGAAATAGTTATGGCCATACGTGGTATGGGACTCTGCCAGTGCGCCCAACTCTAGACGGCAGAACTATTAGGATCATCGGCCTAAGCCTTCTGAACAAAAACCTGTCCGCAAGGCAGCGGAGGTGGCAACGACTCAGTTTTACAGAAATGGACGCAATCCCATTTCCAACCTCCAACATGGAGGTCCTGGAGATTGTGCTTTTCTGACATCTGATCTTTGACCAACCTGGCAAATCTAAACTTTCTCGTGGGCATCACCCAGTATCTTCACTGATTCGAGGCAGTACTCGAACCATATCGTTGCCACAGTTAGGTTATTTTGGCCGATATGTTTCCCTCGCTACTACGGCTGACATAGCGCGCATAACGAGTTGTCGCTTCAGGTGACCATTTATAGTGGCAACATCCTAATCTACAGTAAAGACCACGCCGATAGGTTCATTGGTCGCACTATTCTCACAAATCTGCATATCTACTTGGTTCCCCCACTGAGGTAGATAAGGTGAAGGCCAGTCACCAATGGTACATCATCTAATCTCGATATTTGCGGGTTTGTGTCTTCTGTCGTTTTCGTGCTACTATTCAGTGATCTCTAACCTCGACGTACTCACGAGTTGAACCTTAATTTTCCTACGATACCATAGTTTCACGTTTTTATTTGATGTTGCTGCCTCTGATACTCGTGCATCGCACTCATGTTACCACAAAATCGCCTTCCCTTCAGAATCTTGGTGATACAATGCCGGCAGCCGAACCACCAACTGGGATTCATCACATTCCACATCATCTGTCGCCAAGCAGAGATGTCGTAAGGACATCGACGCTTCAATCGAATCTCACATCGAAATGGAAACGACTGGTGCACGATCCGAAGAATGTCAACCGTGGTCCTAAGGAAGAAACTACACTATCCCAGTGCGATCACAGCGCCTCCGTTTCCCATTCCGGCAATCTTGCAGCGTACTCATACGTTGGAAATACCGATGAATGCAGACGCGTCTCGCGAAATGCATTGCCCACTGACATTCGGAGTCCCTGGACCATCTCGCAAACAAATGTTTCCAGTCTGACTGTTACCACTGTTTCGCTAGTAACGCTGATGCTTTTGTCACTCGTCTTCATTGTTCACATTCCCAGAATCACTCGACAGACTGTGTCTGAGGTGATTACCCACACCCCCGAAGACAATTATCCATTTTCTCTTATAAGTCCAGAGCTTGGAGTAGGACTAATTCCATTTGGATGGCTAAGACAGATACTGTGCCTACAACCCCCAGATGCCAAATATGTTCCATATTGAATTTCGCGCACGGATATTTGAAATTCTTCCACTCCCAGCTATTTTACCGCTGGCGTGGATGCTTTTGTACTCCTATTTATTGTACATTTTTATTTTTGTCGTTTTTTTCATTTAACCGAGCGAACAACGAGCCCGGTTGAACTCCCATCGGCACTGTGCCACCAAAACCGCTGCTAGAACTTTTTACTGTCATGCATTGGGGTAATCACTGTTCTACATCATCCAGTCAGTGGCAGCAAAGCACACCAATAGGTCACTTGTACTCAAAGCGTACCATGCGATTGCCTCCTCTGTGCCGCAACGTGAATTCTGTTCGTTTCAAACCTGATTGGTGAAAGTCCGCAGTTGGCCGAAAGGATTGCGTGTTTCTTTAGTAGTTCGGAGGTCACCGGTTCGAATCCGCGTGGGTGGGTGCCTTCGCGATATACTCTATGGTTGCGTGGCAGCGGTTCGTCAGTACGGTGTACTGACCTACTCCCTATGTCTTTTTTGATTTGTGTAATACACAAAATTACATTAATATCAGATTCAGGCTCATCAACAGGAAACATGCCGCCGTTTTGCCACCTTGATTGGACCAAAGCATTTTCTTTTGTCTAGTATCAGAAGTGTTTGAGAACAATCAGTTGGTATGATAATACTTGTAAACAGTTTAGCTCGGAGTTTGGTTGAAGATGCCAGGCTGTTTTCTCAGCCGGGTTTGATTACAGACGTTTCGTCCCCAGGCTAGGCAACATCATCAGTGCAATTTCCAGATGCCAGTGTTTTTCATTCACCTTCTTCACCGCGCTCCATCAGTGGTACGTTGTACCGATGCTCCGCTGCCATGCAACCGCCGCCAATCGCACGTGGTCTAAGGATACTACGACGGTCGCTTGACCCCCTACGTAAACTCGAACCCGCGACCTCCGGGTGGAAGGTTTATCGAGTAATTGCTCTCTTTGACATTCTGACCTGAATCAGATTGCTGACTTGACTCGCAACGCTTCGTGAGCAGCCTCTAGCCATAAGTGTTTACTGAATCAGTTCAGCTTCAAGTGCCAGGCTTCGCGTTTTCCGTTCTCTTCTTTTCTCGCAATCCTGATATACTCCATATAGAACTGATGATTTTCAATGTCCATATGCATTGACATTTATCATGTCCAGTCTATGTTCATGCAGCGCTGCGCCAAACCCCCCTTCCCGTCCTCCCTCCAGTGTTTGCAGTTTTTCGAAGGATCTTATGAATCCTATTTGTTGTTTCCTTCATTGCTCAATTGGCTCTTACCGCGAAATACCTTATTCGGAATTGCTCCTGTTTAGTTATATGCAACCTTAATCCCGAGAGGTAATAAAAGTCTCCGAAATCCCACTGATATGAAGTGGGGGAATTGTCCTCTTATCCGCTCACGAATTGTGGTTGCTTTTACGGGGCCACACAACGTAGAATAAGACTACTGACATATTAATTCCGGTTGAGAATTTTGAATAGATGAACTATCTCCACCTTCTACAGCTGCTGGTTGTAGAAACGCATATGGCTCGTTTGGCTGAACTTCGCTTGTACATCGTCGATTGCTATGTTACTTCAAGATTTGATCTTTATCCCTCGGTTTCCGGTAGAAAGTTATCTCCAGTAGCCCAGCAGCAAGTCTAGTCACCAGAACACCAAAGAATACTAACTGGTCATGGTTTCTTCCTCTTCGGAAAATCGTATACCGGCAAATTGCAATTCATTAATTGATGCATTTATTCTAATTTAGACCGTTTCCAGCGGTCAGGGACAGCAACCAATGACTGCAATATTGATGCAACTACCAGCCGAGACAGCGGTCACCCAATCAGTATGCCTGTTATAAATAAATAAAATTTATATTCCCTTTTTCGGCGAGACGCGTATGTGACAGCATGTACAAGTAAATAAAAACATTTGTCCAGAGAGATTTGGAAACAATCGGTTGGTATAGTAGTTTGGTAACGTTTCGCCCTCGACACAAGGGCTTCGTCAGACCAGGTGAATCAGTGTGCAATTAGGGTGGGATTTTATAGCGAACAGGGGCGATAACCGCGTTCCCCGAGACTTGAGTCATGATGTCATTGCAGTAACAGTTCGTGATGTCAGCTCAGGTGGTTCAATCACGGTGAGAATAGTCCAGGTGTTCCTTCGTGCGTCATGACATTGATGGATAAGTCCATAGTGTTAACAATGTTAGTCGGTTTGCACTTTCCAATCTGATCCGCGCACCGATGCTCGTCAGGCTGGCCGGCTTAAGACCACTCACCACGCATTATGGAGTTCTACTCCCTCCATTCTATTCACATAGTCGTCAGATTTGGCAATTTCCACCGCCTCCGCGATCAACTGCTGAGGTACACCCCTCCTAATGACCTCTACATTTTCCAAGTCTATCTGGTGACCCGTGTCTAATGCATGCACAGACACATGCCTGGTATTCAAACTCGTTTCTTGGTGGTCTTGAAATGCGCATCCTGTGCTCCGAAATTCGTGTGCCTAATTCTCTCGCTGTTTGGCCTATGTACACATGTGCATAGTCCTTACATTTAATTTTATAAACACAGTTAGTCGTCCTGTCCTTGGGAAGGGTGTACCAGCGCCGAACGTAACGTTCGACCTCGCCGAAAGATCGCCCTTATATCTTCCTTGATTAGCACCCTCCGAAGTGCCTTCCTTGTACGGAATTCCGACCGTCCCTATCCACTCGGTTATGGGTCTTGATTGCCGATTTCGCATTTTATACAATTGGCGTTTGACTAGCCGCCGTGGGTAACCATTTTCTAATAGTTTGCTCATTGTCACTTTCCGCGCAGCCTTTTTGTTCTCCTCCATCGTGCACAAGGTGTGTGCAATGTAAGACAGCACTGAGGCTATCCCAGCGTAAACTTGTTTCGGATGACCCGAAGTGTAGTGGAGTACGCCTTCAGTATCTGTTAGCTTGCGATATATTGTCGTCTTTAAATTTCTCCCATTCTTGTGAATCAGGCAGTCAAGAATTGGTGTTGTACCGCTACAAGATTCCAACTCAATAGTAAATTGTATTCTCTCATCAATGGAGTTTAAGTCATCAAGCAACTCGTCCTTCTTATCCCGTTTAACAAGTATAAAGGTGTCGTCAACATAACCCCACCAAAATTTTGGTGAGTTGATGGTGTTTGTTAACGCCCTGTTCTCGAAGTCTTACATATACAGGTTCGGCAGTACAGGGGATATTGATGATCCCATGGTGAGATCTTGTTCCTGACTGTAAAGCTTCGACAGAAAAACGAAGTGACATGTTAAGACATACTGTCATACCCTCGATTATCTGGTTGACCGTTAGTTTCGTCCGATCAATCAGAGTAACATCTTCATTTAGACAACTTGCAATTCCTAGGAGGTTATTACACTGTGTCATAACATGACTTACTTCGTTTTTCCGTCGAAGCTTTACAGTCAGGGCTAGGTCTCGCGGTGGGATCATTAGTATCCCTTGTACTAGCTAATCTCCTAATGGAAGTCTGCAGACCAGGGCGTTAACAAACACCATCAACTCATCAAAATTTTGGTGGCGTTATGTAGACGACACCTTTATACTTGTTAAACGGGATAAGAAGGACGAGTTGCTTGATCACTTAAACTCCATTGATGAGAGAATACAGTTTACTATTGAGTTGGAATCTTGTAGCGGTACAATACCAATTCTTGACTGCCTGGTTCACAAGAATGGGAGAAATTTAAAGACGACAATATATCGCAAGCCAACAGATACTGACGGCGTACTCCACTACACTTCGGGTCATCCGAAACAGGTTTACGCTGTGATAGCCTCAGTGCTGTCCTACATTGCACACACCTTGTGCACGATGGAGGAGAACAAAAAGGTGAGGGTGAGAAACATCTGGTGGGCCGCAATATAAATAGACAAGATACTAATATATTACACTACAAAAGTTTGATGTAGATATTATTTATGCGTTTTGCATGAGGTTGAGATTGGTGGGGAACTAATTGGAGGTGAGTGAGCAAAGAAACTCACAACACAAAACATTGGGATCGGCCCCTCTCCATGTGTGCAAATGTCCAACCAAACGTGTTCATCGTCCTTAGGACCCCAGCCAGACAGTCGGGATGCACCACCCGACGCCAGTTTCGAAGTGAGGGTTTTCAATCCTCTCGACCAAGTCATCGCTTGGCTTCCTTTACCAACCGCACCCCCGACGGTCAAACCATGCACGTCGCGGTAGTCGCTGAGCTACCATGCTCAACACCTGGCCCAGCCAACGGAACATGTTGCGTGATATAATGGTGCTGAACTGTTTACTAGCCCTTTCTACACCAACTGCACGAAGCCGAACACGCTCATTGCTCATGCGGTGCTCCCACCAGACATGAGCTAAGCTGCGAAGGCAGCGATGATCGAATGTGACTAGCCGCTCTATGTCTGTCGACCTGATGGGCCAGGTTTCACAACCGTATAAGAGGGTTGAACGGGGGCTGCGTTATAAACTCTACCCTTCAGGGAGAGTAATGTCGCGTCTGCATCACAGAAGGCGGAGATTGGCAAAAGCGCCTCGAGCTTTTGTTATACGGTTCGTAACATCATCTTCGATCCCACGGGCGCTAATATAGCTCCCCAGATATTTGAATTCCTGAACGACTTCTAGCTGATCACCACCAAGTGTTAGCACAGGGTTGGGTCCCTGCCAATTTTGGAGAAGTACTTTGCATTTCGATGGAGCAAAGCATAGCCCATAACGGTTGACAGCCAGTGCTAACCGGTCCAGTGCTGCTTGGCATGTTCGGCAGCTGTCACAGATTAGGGCAATATCGTCCGTATACTCCAAGACAAGAAGTCGCTCACCAGGAAGTAGTTCCACACCCTCTAGGTAGTGTCCAACGAATGCCGTTTCTATGAATTCGTCAACAGCGATGTTAAAGAGTAAAGGTGACAGCGGGCAACCTTGTCTCACACCGCTGGTGATACTGAAGGCGGGCGAACAGTTTGCCATAAACCCTCACTCTG